TGGTCAAAAAAAAGTATATCTATATAATATTACATTGAATTACACTAGTAGTATTCAACACCACATATAGTTTTGTTAGTAAAATTTAGGATTAGAACCTAAACTATAGTAAAGATATAGGTTTAAATTTTAGTAAAAGTAAGGCTTTTGAGAGTATTAAATATTTTTACTTATTCGGCACCTTACTATGATCGTACCAACAGAATAACTTGAGTTATTTTGATAGCAATTGCATCATCATCAAATAACTTCATTATTTGATGATAATGTAATTATCACCAAAAAAACTCGAGTTATTCTGTTGGTTTGGTCGTCATAAGATGCTAGATAATACCGTATTGAATGCTATTTAGCTAATAACTCATTTATCTGGCTGTGAATTTAATATGTCATTTCTGGACCTCTTCGGAGCCCAGAAGCTGACATATTAAACTTAACAGCCAGATAATAAATTATTTTACAAATAATTTCTGTTATTGGCTACTTCGCATCTAATAACTATATATTATTACATTTATTTAGCTAGTTTTTAAAGTATAACAACTGTAGTATCAAATACTACTGATATGATTTAGTTAACTGTTTACATATATATATACCTTAAATAAAAAAATTTATTTAACTTATAGGATAAAGTAAGAATTACTATTTTACTTAGTACTAATGCTGCAGGAATACATTGGCTTAAACCATGAGTAATTGGTAAATCCTTACGACCATGGTGTTTTAAATATATTAACTTAAATTCTCTTTCTGTTGAATATTATGCAAATGAAAAGGCATGGATGCGTAGTAATATATTTGAAGAATAGCTTCATCAATTAGATTATTATTTTCGAATTAAAGACCAAAAAATTCTTCTACTGCTTGATAATACTGCCTCTCACTTTGATTCAAATGAAGAATATACTGATCAAGATAAAGCCAGTTCTGCTTCTGAAAATGTATATATTGAATTAAGTAATAGTATTGGCTCATCTTCTAAGGTATCTAGCAAAAAATGTATATCAAATAATAAACAAAAAAAGCGCAAAAAACAAAATCAGCAGAGTTCATATTCATATTTAACTAATATTAAAATTGCATTTTTACCTCCTAATATAATAGCTTACCTGCAACCAATGGATGCAAGAATTATAAAAAGCTTTAAAAGCAAATATAAAGCTCTTTATTGCCATCATATTTTAATGCAATATGAGACTGACGAAGATATTAATAAGTAAGAAATTTTTTAATTTTTTAATTTTAAACTAATACACATAGTGCTCTAAATAGTTTGAACCTAGTTGAACTATTTAATTCTATTGCGATCAATTAAAAAATATGATAAGTAATTATAAAGGTAATTAAGTTTAGTTTAAAAAGCATTTTTAATTATTATTAAAATATTATCATTATTATTTTACTAATACTAATATCAAATTTGGTTTAACAATTAACTAATCCTGTCAGATGTATAATTTATAATTAGTTACTCTGTTTAACAGAGAGAATTGACAGAATTGGTAAGAAAAAGTTTTTTCGAGTTATATTTATGAAGCTAGTAAAAAAAAAGTTAATAATAAGAGATCTTATTTTAAAAAAAACTTAATTAAACTTTATACTTATTTGCTATTAATTTAATATTTATGAAACTAGTAAAAAAAAAATTAGATGGTAAGCAAGTGATTCTATTTTTTTTTTAAAAAAAAACTTTATACTTATTTGCTATTAGTTTAATATTTATGAATTCGAGTAATTTATTTATGTGTTCTAATTGTTTAAAATAGGAATATATTATTAAAAAGAAATTAGAGCAAATAAAATAAGCAAATATTTTGAATATAAATAATCTATAAAAGTACTAATGAAGTCAGAGTTGAAAAAAGCATTCACTATTATCAACAATTTGTCAAGATAGGTATTATATTCAAAAATTGGCTACAATTGATTTTGTTAATAATTTTGTTCTAAAGTAATTCTGTTGCAATAGTAGTAAATTAATAATAATAATTACTAATTAAATTTATTCTATATTTATTAGCTAAATAAAACTGAATAATTTTAGAAAATCTTAAAATGGTATATATTAATTTTTTCAATCTTTTAATTCATTTTGTAAATATTAAATAAGTTACTATTTGTATTCGTAGGTTTTAGATTACTATTTTAGTTAAATTGAAAACTATTCAGAGTATTACTGTCAAACCTCTCTAAAATAATATATATATAGTAAACAGGTTTTATATCAGTATTGAGAGGTTGATTAGTTTTCTATCAAATTTGACAAGTTATCGATTTTGACTAGTATTAAAAGGTTTAACAATATTAACTTTTTTTTTAAGAAATAAATTAAATCTTAAACAGGCTATTGATTATGTTTCGGATACATGGAGTGCAATTGATAATGATGTAATTATCAATTGTTAGAAAAAAACAGGAATTCTACCTGCTGTTGAAAATGAAAAAATCATTAATGCAACTGAATTTCAAGACGAAACAAATTTATTTGAAAATAATGAACTTGATACTCTTTTAGATGAGTTTTCTAATGAGGATGATTATTCTACTGCTCTTACTTCTGCAGTAGTTGATTTTTTTATGATGTTGACCAAACTATTGCAACGGAGGAAGTATTAACAAATCAGCAAATTATTAATCTTGTTCAAAATGAAGATAATATTATTGAAGATAATTAAGAAGACTCTAATAAAGAACTATCTGAAATATCTATACAAGAGGCATATATTGCTTTAAAAACTTGATTATCTTTTTGAACAACAAGAATCTTCTAACTTTGATATGAAAGATATAAAAATATTAAACAAATATAGTAAAGTTATGAGTAGAATTTTATTAGATTCGAAAAAACAAAGTTCTATTATTGATTATTTTCAAAAAATTTAATATTTTAGTATGATATATTTTAAATATATATTATTTATTTATGTATTTAACTAGTTAAGTTTTATTATACTATAAATAAATAAATAAATATTAGTATTATAAGTAAAAATAGAATTTAGATTCATAATTTCAATACTGTAGTGGATATAATTATTATTTTAAAAATAATTAAGTAGTTAGTAGTATTGTCACGCCTATAATTTTTTATTTCTTTATTTTTCTTTTATTTTATTTTTAGTTTTATTATTTGATTTAGTATTTTTATAGTA